CTCCCCATTAGAAATATTTATCCTTGAATGGTGATCTAGGCACCTTACGGAGCTAAAGACTCAAGACTAGTAGCCCATCATGAATCAACCATCAAAATTATTGAGGGTCGTCAACTTGCGCACCGTTGATACCACTTGCAGTTCCAGTTAGGTTGGTGAGCCTCCTTGCTTTTGGAGGATTCCACTTCTATTTTCAGTCTTATTAAGATGTCGTGGGTCTTGTCCCGATGTCGATCATAGTTATTAGAGGTTTTGTAGAAATTTGTGTTTTGAGGAGTGTTTTCTATTTCCATTGTTAATGTTTAAGACTTGACTTTCCTTTTGGGCCAGTTGAATACGTTACATATTCTAAGTTAATTATCTTGAGATATTTGAGTTAATCTTTGCAAATTGAGGTCATATATTGTTGAGTAAGTCTTCCGCTAAGTATTGAGCCATACATTTGGTACTTAAATTATGTCATTTGGTGCTTAAACTACGTCATTTTACTCAGTCTAAGCCTAGTAATCTAATCAGAAACTACCTAAAACCCTCATTCTTCTAAAATCATCCAACTTAGAAAGAAACATATGATCAATAACATAGAAACTATAACACCTAAATTTCAATGGATCCCTAAGATTTAGGAACCCTAGGTCTGAACAATTTATGGAGAAACTGAAGAATTGACTGAATTCTAAGGACGATACTTGATCGCAAAAATTTTCTATCATATTTGCCTAATCATCGAGGGCTATGAATTGCACATTATTTTCAAAATGCTTGTTATCGTAATGGGTGAAAGGAACACATTAGTTGAATCCCACATACTTGGTGGCAAAAACTATGGAGAAATCCTTTGGATTTTGGGACTGAACTTGAAGAAGACCTCTTCTTGTTCTTGGGAGAAACTGTCGCCTCTTTCTCTTCTCTTCTTTCTAAGTTGGATGATTTTAGAAGAATGAGGGTTTTAGGTAGTTTCTGATTAGATTACTAGGCCTAGAATGAGTAAAATGACGTAGTTTAAGCACCAAACGACATAATTTAAGTACCAAATGCATAAGGAAAAGACCAATGCAACCTTGACTTAAATGCTGACGAAGTGACTTCAAGGAGGTCTTCACGGGCCGTCATGATCACCATGGCCCATCTAGAAGGTTGTGAAGATGCCCTACCCGACATGGCTTCACTGAAATGAGCATAAATTTTTACTCCAGACTTGGAATTAGGCAAACTCAATGACTTTGGAAAGAGGACTCAAAAATCTTTAATTTGATAGTTCATGGACCACCTAATCCATTTTGTGCTGAAAGATATGATCGTTTGAAGTTGACCCAAAACTCCAAACTTGACAGGCCTTTTTCACGGATGACTTCATGGTCTGTGTGAAGCTCCATGGATCGTTTAGGCGTCCGTGGTCCTTCACAGTGACCTTGGGTGCAGCCTCCTTGACCGGGTGACTTCTACAAACCTATAGATGGGCCGTCCAAGTCACCACGGGCAGTTAAAGGCACCCTCTAGGTGACTACCTCCCAGGCAGCCCCTGGAGGGTGGTTCACGATGCCTTTGATGGGACGTGAACCCATAGATGGACCGTCTAGGTGACCCCTGACAGGGCAGTCCTGGATGGTCACTCATAACATCCTTAACGATTGTAGTCCCTACACGGACCGTCTATGGTGCTGTGAAGGGTCCATGGTCCCTTTTGGATTCGTGGACTTACCCAATTTCCCCTTTTAGCTCTTTGTCAAAGTTCTAGGTGTTACATTATCTCCCTCTTGGGATCATTCATCCTCAAATGAAGACTAAACAAGTGAGTATGGAGGGAATGAGCTGCAATCCCTACCACTGAGTACTAGAAACTAATATCTAACTGAACTGAGTTCCATGAACATGCAAATATATTGAAATGCAAAGATAACTGAGGGAACAAGATACTGAGACTGAATTACACAAGAGTAAACTGAGAGATTGGAGAGAAACTATTACCTCAAGTTGAAACGGAATCAAAAGGAAAGAGGTTAGGATACTTGGCCATCATGTTTGCTTTTGCTTCCCAAGTAGCTCCCTCTATGGACTGACTCTTCCACAAAACCTTTACTGAAGCGACTTTTTTATTTCTTAACCTACAAACCTAACATTCAAGAATTTCAACTAGAATCTCCTCATAGATGAGGATATCCTTCACATCCACACTCTCTAAAGGTATTATCGATGCCAGTTAACCCACACACGTCTTCAACAAGGAAATGTGAAAGACTGGATGATCCGCTTCTAGTTATGTTGGTAACTCTAACTCATAATCGATATTACCAACCCTTTTCAAGATTCTGTAAGGACCTACACACCATGGGACTGAGCTAATCTTTCTTGCCAAATCTCATCACCCCTTTCATGGGTGACACCTTTAGGAAAACCCAATCATTAATTTCAAACTCTAAGTCCCTTCTCCTTACATCTGCATAGGACTTCTAATGTCTCTGTGCTATCTTTAGTCAATCTCTGATGAGCTGAACTTTCTCCATAGCCTCATGAACCGAATCTAGCCCAATCAAGGTTACTTCACCTACTTCAAACTAACCAACCAGAGACCTACATCTATGCCCATATAGTGCCTCATAAGGGGACATCTAAATACTTTATTGAAAGTTATTATTATAGGCGAACTCTATGAGAGGTAGGTGATCATCCTAATTACCCTTGAAATCAATCACACAAGCTTTTAACATGTCCTCTAAGGTCTGAATGGTACAGTCTGCCTGACCATCCTTCTGCGGATGAAATGTTGTATTGAGATTTACCTGAGTACCAAGACCTTTCTGAAACGATTTCTAGAAATGAGATGTAAAATAGGGACCTCTATCTAAGATGATAGACAAGGGAACCCATGCAACCTGACTATCTCGCTAATGTGGAGTCCATCATAATCCTCCACTGAATCCGTAGTCTTGACAACCAAGAAGTGAGCTGACTTAGTGACTCTATCCACTATCACCCAAATAGAGTCATGTTGTCTGCAAGTATGAGCTAAATTTGTAATGAAGCCCATGTTTGTCACTTCCCACTTCCATGTAGGGATGCTAATCTCTTGAGTCACACCTCTTGGTTTCTGATGTTCTACTTTAACCTATTGATAGTTAGGACACTTAGCAACAAAATATGTGATGTCCCTCTTCATGTCGTTCCACCAATAGACTTCCTGTAAAGGATGATACATCTAAGTAGAAACAGGATGAATAAAATGTCTAGAATTATGGGCCTCTGTAAGGAACTATTGCCTCAACTCACCCACATTTGGAACATATAAGTGACCCTGGTAACGAAGCACACCATCTCCCTCTTGGGAACACCTCAACTCTCTAGTGATAAACTCTACCTTTCAACTGAAGCAATATAGGATCACTATCCTTTTTTCCCTTTCTTACCCATTCTGAAATATCACACCACCATCTAATGTGTCCATAAGGCAAACTTCTAAGCGAGTAAGGCGATGAACATCTCTGTCTATTTTTTTCTTCTCTTCCTCAACGTGTGCTACACTGCCATGGATAATCTATTGAGGGCATCAGCCACTAAATTGGCCTTACCCAGATGGTAGAGCACATTAATGTCATAGTCTTTGAGGAATTCAATCCATCTCCCTTGACGAAGATTCAACTCTTTCTGGGTGAACACATACTGGAGGCTCTTATAATCTGTGAACACATCAACATGAGTGTCTCCAAATCTTGAGGGCAAACACTACGGATGCAAGCTTGAGGTCATGAGTTGGGTAGTTCTTCTCATGGACATTAAGCTGTCCGGAAGCATAAGCTATGACCTTACCCAATTGCATCAACACACGACCCAGGCCGACCCTGGATGTATCACAATGAACCACATAACCGTCTAAACCATCTGGTAAGTCAAGCCATGAGCTGTCGTCAACCTGGTTTTCAGTTCTAAGAAGCCTTTCTCACACCCATATAACCAATGAAACTTGACCTTTTTCTGAGTCAACTTGGTTAATGGGGAGCTATGGATGAAAATCCTTCAACAAAAAGAAGCAAAAGGTTTTTATATTTATAGTTTTATTGTAAACTTGTGCTGACGAATTGATTGCCTTTTCTATTATTTTCTTTAAAATAATTTAAATAATAAAATTTATGTAGTGTGAATGTGTTTTTCAGTATTTAGTATCCTATTAGGGTAGATAATGATGGAATACTAATTGAGTAAGGAAGGAGTTAATATAAAGTAACATTTTAATGTACTATATAGTCAAACTAAAGTTGAAAAACATAATAGCATGCTTATCTGTACTTATTACTATAGTTGACAATATATATTTCTAAAATCTTTCCCCCTTTGATTATTTATTCATATATAAAGTTTTGGACAAAAGTAACTGTTATATATTTTTATATGAGTTGTGATATGAATTCTTCCAACTCCATTGCTCCAATGTATTATTTTGATAGCTTTTCAGAAGGTTGCAAATTTGAAATAATTTTAAAAACAACTCCAGCCGATGCAGTAAAATCAATAATTTTATCCAAAGTGTTAAAATTTGTTGCTGAATCAGATGAAATTTGGGGAATTTTTTTTCCCTCGGATTATCAAGAAATAATTGATGGATCTGAGTTTTCTATTGTTTGCAACACCAAATAGGAGCTCTGTTTTCGTTTGTGTGATTCACCGATTCTCCTTGATGGAGGCAAACTGGTAACACTCAATTTTGATGTGGTTATCTTTTATGATTCTATATATGTTTTAATTTTATTATCGACGGTGTGTACATACCTAAATTATTTATCAATACCTGCTACCTCCCACAAGAGGTGATATCAAGATTTAAGCTTTATGAATTAAATTTTTTAGGATCTCAACCTTTAACTTGTTATTTTTAATGGTGTGGGTTCACATCTACTAGTTTTTACATTTATCATGAATTTTTACACATAAATTCATGCTCCGTATGGAAGTGTTGGGTTAAGATTAATCCTTAATTAATATCTTTATATGTTTCTACCTCTTATCAGAGTTTTTTTCTTGATAAGCGTAGTGGAAAGAAGGGTATAATGATAGCACCAAGAGAGCTTGTTATTTCAGATAGTTATAACCCACAAACTTGGAAATGGGTTAGACGCCGCGATTCCATGTTCATCTCTTTTTATATTCTTAATTTGATCTATAACTTTATTGCTCTTCTTATAAATACTTATGCAATGCATTTGCCCTTCTTATATGTTATCTGATACATCTTATTCACCCGAGCTACAACAAAATAAAAATCATAATGCGGCAGTCAAAATTAAAAGGTTTTTCTAGTTTAAAATTAGAGGAGACACTTTATGTGTTAGATGTCAATATGAAAAATCCAACAAGTTTTCTACAGAGTATCAAAGTATCTAAATAAAAAGGCATTGGAGCAGTGCATGCAAATGTGTTTGAACCATTAATGCAACCTTCTATCTATGGTTACTAATACATGGTATCATTCATTGATGACTTCTAAAAGTGCTCATGAATTTACTTCTTAAAGAAGAAGTCTGAAGTATTTGAGAAGTTTAAAGAGTTCAAACATACAGTGGAGAATGACATTGAAAGAGTAATCAAATATCTATGTATGGAAAATGTGTGAGAATACTTGTAACATTAGTTCAATGAGTACCTTAATAAAACATGGTAGGACAACAATTGAGTTGCCCAAATATTTTGTAGAAAAATGGAGTAGCTGAAAGAAGAAATAGACACTTCATAGAAATATGAAGAAGTATGTTGAATATATAATGCAGTATATTGTGATAGTCAATATGCGCTACACATAGCAAGGAATCCATATTTTCTTGAGAGAACTAAACATATAGAAATTGACAATCAGTTTGTTCGAGACAAGCTCCAAGATGGACTTATTTCCCTTCATTATATTGTTACCACAGATCAACTGGCTAACCTATTCACCAAAGCTCTTACTGGTGTTAAACAAACTTGCATCATGTTAAAGTTGGCTATGAAGGCCTCATATCCCACTTGAGAGGGGGGGAAGGGGTACATTGAGAATGTGTTTATACTTATAGTTAATTATGCTAGTTATATTATGTTGATTAGCTTAATTGTTAGCTTAGTCAGTTAGTTGTAGTTGTTAGCTCAATAAGTTATTATTTTTTCAGAAGCCAACTATACACAAATGTCATAGTAATATAATACACTTGTGCAGATACATTTTCCTTTGAGAGGTTTTATTAAACAAAGTAGTTTGCCTTTCTTCCTCTTCTCTTTACACTGACTTCTCCCTCTCCTTGAAACTTTGATGTCTGTCTTATATAAAGTGCAAACAAATATTGGAATGTGAAATATGATATTACCTTCATTTATGTGTAGCCTACAATTATAAATAACTATTACCTTCATGTTAATATGCATTGAATCTGACATTATGACAATTTGGTCTGGATACAAAAATATCAAAAATCACATTATGTATTCTATGTGCATATTTATATTGGGTAGTGGAGGAGACTAACTGTTTATTATGAATTTATAACTGATAATGGCTCAATTTGGAAAATATGCACATGTCATGTATTGGGATAGCAGAGGTTAGATTAATATAACAACTAAGAGTTAATGTCACCATGAAAGAATGTTGGGCAGCGGATGGGGTTGCTCCTAACTAAACTAGAGGCTTTGGGGTCAAACTTTGGGTATGAAAAATTCTTGGTAGGAAATACTTGTCCAATAGTGCCTTACACGGCTCCAATCAGAATTAGCCGGGCTCTAATGCTGATATTGAAGACCAAATGAGAAACCAAAGAAAAAAAAAACTTTAGTGAATGTGAAAAATTTGTAGAGAAAATGATGTGCTCAATTTTGTCTTATATATTAATGTATATACATTATTTTAAAAAAAATGTTAAATGATTTATTTTAAACTAAAGGCTAATACTCCAGCTTTGAAGTTAAGAGCTTCCCCCTATTAGCATAGTATAGTAAAAAAGTAATATATGATATGATTAATGAGGGTCAATTAGCACATTACGAAGATGGTAAATGTTCACTTGTAGTTTAGAAAAGGTGGTTCATGCCCTTGAAAGGAGATACCTTTAATAGGAATGTCTTAACTACCAATAATGGTTTTTATATGGCGCAAACTCAGATGGTGTGCAGGCTTCTGTCAATGTTTTGATGGTAAAAATAAAAAAAAAATGCTATGAAAAGTTAATTAAATAATACCATGTATGACTCAATTTTGTAATTTTTTTTAATTCGCATCTGATACACCTAATAAAGAGCTAAAGCCCTACAAATCATTTAATTATTGTTTTTAAAAATAAATTTTCCTTACAAATGTTTCTTGCAATGCTTTTGCAGATTCTTTGAAGTGGCATATCTTATTACTATAAATCAATTGGATATTCGTGGAACAATAGGGACATAAATGTTGTCACCAAAGACAAAAGATGCTGCTTATTTGGTGTTCAAGTTTGTAAATGGGTGCAACAATAGCCTTCCATTAGCTAAATCAAATATTAGGTTTGTTAATTATGAGAGCGAAATTGATGCTGAAAATCAGGCAAACACTGTGCACCTTCCAATATTGCAAGAAAGTGGGGGTATCCCCAAAAATGAGAGGAGATGGATGGAAGTAAAATTGAGATATTTTGATAGCAAGAAAGGCACTGATGGTCCTGTTGAAGCAAGATTTTTGAGAAGAATCATTTTTATAAAATTGGACTCATTGTTGAAGGAGTTCAGTTTCGTCCAAAATGAGAAGTGTATATGGGAATTTAAGTTTTACATGTTTTGAACAAGAAATCTTTGAATTCTTATTTTGATTACTATTTCAATGTTTGCAATTTACTACAAACAATTCATATACATTGCATATCCTTTAAGGCTTTAATATTACTTAATAATTTGGACGTCCTCTTTCTACCAGAAGGTTACCTTCTGGCCAATTTTGTGGCCTATATTTTGGATTTAACTTTTAGAAGGTTGAAAAGGGTGAAGAGAAATTCTTTCTTCTGATATTTATGATGTTGAATTTTCTTCTCTATTTAATCTCTGTTAGTTTATGTGCTTCTAGTTTTATATTAGAAGAGAGCTTTGATGAATCCTGAGAAAGTGAAATATTTTTTTGGATTTCAACTGATGGATCAGTCTCAACTATGTGGTCAAAGGAAGAAAATATGGTGTTATCATTTGGATATTGTTTTTCCCAAAGATTTCTATTCTTTGGGATAAATTCATCATATTGATCTTCATCCTTTTTAGGAGCTAAAGCTAATAAGGTATCAAGAACTAAGCTTTATGGATTAGATCTTTTAGGATCTCAACCTTTAACTTGTTATTTTGAATGTTGTGGATTCACATCTACTAGTTTTTGCATTTATCATGAATTTTTACATATAAATTCATGCTCAGTATGGAAGTGTTGGGTTAAGATGAATCCTTAATTAATATCTTTATATGTTTCTACCTCTTATCAACACATGTACGGGATAGTGACGGAGTGAAAAACTCATGTATAGAGATAAAAAAAATACAAGGTGTCACCCTAGGGTTTAAACTCATAAGAAAAAATAATGTATGAACTCTCGTTGGTACTAAACTAGAAATTTTTCATTTAAGTGAATTCAACTGTTCATAAATCATTAAAAAGAATCATTTAACCCTATTTGCGTCGCTCTAATTTTTGGTAAGGTGATTCAATTGAACTCTTTTCCTTCCTTTAGCTCTTCTCCTGATACCAAAGTACTCTGATAGCTCAAGTAGGTGAAAAGAAATGATCACCTAGTATTTTGTTTATATTCACCAAAATGTAAAATCTAATCTCTTATAATTTTCTATCCAAAACATTAATTGCCACAGTTATCACACTTGATGTTTATTTTTTACTTATTTTGTTTGGTAGATGGGAAATATTGACTGTCAATTTTTATTCTGTTTCGCTCTCCAAAGTTTAGGTTATTCCAATTGAACAATGTGTCCTTTAGGTGCTTCCTAGTATACCATTATGAAACTATAATTGTGTAGCAACCATTCAAATAAATATGATGAAAATATGCTTGGAAATAAAAAAAAAAATACTTGGAAGCACTTTCTCTGATCTTACGTGGTGTTCTTTAAATTAATCAGACGGAAATTTTATTTTTTTCTTTCTCAGAGTTTTTTTCTTAATAAGCATAGTGGAAAGAAGGGTATAATGATAGCACCAAGAGATCTTGTTAATTCAGATATTGATAACCCACAAACTTGGAATGGGTTAGACACCGTGATTCCAGGTTCATCTCTTTTTATATTGTTAATTTGATCTACAACTTTATTGCTCTTCTAATAAATATTTATGCAATGCATTTGCCCTTCTTATATGTTCTCTGATACATCTTATGCACTTGAGCTACAACAACAAAAAATCATAATGCGGTAGTCAAAGTTAAAAGGTTTTTCTAGTTTAAAATTAGAGGAGACACTTTATGTGTTAGATATCAATATGAAAAAGCCAACAAGTTTCCTACAAAGAATCAAAGTATCTAAATAAGAAGGCATTGGAGCAGTTCATGCAAATGTGTTTGAACCATTAATGCAACCTTCCATTTGTGGTTACTAATACATGGTATAATTCATTGATGACTTCTCAAGGTACGCATGAATTTACTTCTTAAAGAAAAATTCTGAAGTATTTGAGAAGTTTAAAAGTTCAAACATACCGTGGAGAATGATATTGAAAGAGTAATCAAATGCCCATGCACGGACAATGGGAGAGAATACATGTAACATGAGTTCAGAGTTCAATGAGTACCTTAATAAAATATGGTAGGACAACAATTGACTTGCCCAAATATTTCGTTGAAAAATGGAGTAGCTGAAAGAAGAAATAGTCACTTGATAGAGATCATGGAGAAGTATGTTGAATGTATTGCAGTACATTGTGATAGTCAATCTGCACTACACATTACAAGGAATCCATATTTTCTTGGGAGAACTAAACATATAGAAGTTGACAATCATTTTGTTCGAGATAAGCTCCAAGATGGCCTTATTTCCCTTCATTCTATTGTTACCACAGATCAACTGGCTAACCTATTCACCAAAGCTCTCACTGGTGTTAAACAAACATGCATCATGTCAAAGTTGGCTATGAAGGCCTCATATCCCACTTGAGAGGAGGGGGGGGGGGAGGGGGGGGATTAAAAAATCGAT